ATTTATTTACTTATTTATTTTATTTATTTTATTTAGTTTTTTATAAACTTATAAATGAAAAAAAAAACGAAAAAAAAATATTAGATAGAGACAGAGATAGAGATAGATGCAGAATATGGAGACAGTATACACCCAGATGTATACACAAATTCTTCTTTCTTTGTTATTTATAAATAAATAAATAAACAAACAAATAAATAAACAAATAAATAAATAAATAATATAATAAAGTATAGTATAGTATAAAAAATAAAAAATAATAAAAAACAAATTAATTTATTTATAATATATATATTTTTTTTTTTTTTGTTTGTATGCAGCATCATCTTACCTACGAAGCACAGCGCGAGATTATTTTTTTGTTTTTTTGTTTTGGTTGTTTCTTTTTTATTCTGTTGTCTTTGCTGGTCCCCAGGATATACCTTTTGCTGCTGCTGCATGCGTTGCTGCTGTGTCTTTGTCTTACAAGTGCTGCGATTCACAGAGCAGCAGCAGCAGCCCTTGCTGCAGCACAGCATTGGTGCTCAGCAGCAGCAGCAGCAGCAGCAGCAGCAGCAGCAGCAAAGCAGCAGCAGATGACTCACCCAAAAACAAACAGATCATACCGCTGCCTATGCTGCACTGCAGCACGCGTTCCCTCCCAGCAGCAAGAATTCCAGTTGCTGCTGCTGCTGCTGCTGCTGCTGCTGACACCGCAGCAGCAGCAGCAGCAGGTCTGGAGTCACCTGCTTGTGGGGGGAGCCACGCTATTTGGCAGCTGCCGCAGCAGCAGCAGCAGCAGCAGCAGCAGCAGGGGGGTGTTGACTGGATGTCTGTCCCTAGCGGCAGCAGCAGCATATCGTGGGTGCAGCAGCAGCAGCAGCAGCAGCAGCAGCAGCAGCAGCTGAGTGCAGCAGATTCTTCTGGAGCTGAAGCAAGTGCAGCAGCACAAAGAGCAGCAGCAGCAGCAGCAGCAGCAGCAGCACCAACAAAGTCTTCATCAAGTCAAGGCCTTTGGCCGTTGCTGTCTTTAGGTACAGATGATGGTGAAGCAGAGACAGCAGCAGCAGCAGCAGCAGCAGCAGCTTCTGCTGCTGCTGCTGCTGCAGGTTCTGTTTCAGGAGCAACAGCAGCAGCTGGTGGCGTATCTGCTGCCATCCCAGGTGTTGCATCATCATCATCATCAGCAGCAGCAACACCAGCAGCAGCAGCAGCAGCAGCAGCAGCAGGAGAAGAAGGGGGGGGATGCTCGCTGCTGCTGAGCCCCTTCGGCAGCATTCAGGTGTATGGGCAGCTAAACCCCAGCAGCAGGGAGACGTGGCCTGTCTTTGCTGATGACGAAGCAGAACCAAATATACAGCAGCAGATACAAAACCTCATCGAAATATCCACGCTGCTGCAGGTGCTGCTGCTGCTGCTGCTGCTGCTGCTGCTGCTGCTGCTGATGCTGCTGATGCTGCTGCTGCAGGTGCTGCTGCTGTTGTTGCTGCTGATGATGATGATGATGCTGCTGCTGCTGGATTTGTTGCTGAGGCTGTTCCTTTACTGCTGCTGCAGCTGTTCTATCTGCTGCTG